CCCGCCCCGCCCCGCCCCCAGGCGCGTGCGCAGAAGGTAAAACCTGACTGGGGAGTCGGCAGGTGTGTTAAAGCGAAGTGGGAAGGTTTGCCCGCCTTCAATGTGACTAAACTTCACGGGGGGAACCCGAAACCTTCAGGGTCATCCTGACTCGTGTCCCAAGATGTAATGCCTTGCATATTTCCTCGGACTCCCCTCAAACAACTTTGTCCCGAATATTAGCCTTGTATCTTTGTGAGGATGACAGTCATGGGAGAGAGTTACTGTTTCTCTACCGCGAACAGACGAGGTAAACTTGTAACTCTGGCAATTTTGCAAGGTTTCTCCCCCTCCCCCGCCCACCCCTTGAAGTGCTTATATGTGTAAACCATTTGGTAAACCAGTTCTTCAATCCACCTTTCAAGTAGACTCCTCTTCTGGGTCTATCTTTGAGTCCTTCTGTAACATGTGTGAGCACTAAGGTCTGTCTTTAGATGTGTCCTGGCTTACCAAGCAGAAAGAATATGAAGCTTGTAACAATTCTTGCTTCTACTTCCTATATGAGTGATTTCTCTTTTATTTTTATGACAACTCCAAAAAAATTGTAAAACAAAAATAATTTTTCAATTCCACGAAAACAAACAAATGAGCAAAACTTTTCATTTGGAACAGCTCTATGATCTTAAACATTAGCCCAAAAAATCAGATCAGTGGCTCTCAAAAGCTTGACTCGACTTTGGAATTACCTAGGAAGTATGAAAAAATGTTTGATTTCCAGGCCCCATACCCAGAGATTCTTTTTGTGACCGCAACCAAGGTACATGCCCTTGACAGGAATTGAACCTGGGACCCTTCAGTCCGCAGGCTGATGCTCTATCCACTGAGCCAAACCAGTGAGGGCAAGATCCTTATTTAATTCATGCAATCTGGGCATCATGATTTTTTTAAGTCACAGGCTATAGCTGTACCGTTGAGGTTGGGAACCACTAAGCCAGGTAATGGTCAATGAAAAACCTCCCTTGGGCCCTCCCTTACAAGGTCATATTATTAGCACATCTTTCCCACTGTATAATTGTTTGGTGTCTTTGTATTTTAAAATCATAGTGGTCGAATCATTAATCTCATTAAAATATTTACTAATGAAATGATTTTTTGGTTTTCGTGTTAAGGGAATGGATAACTAAGAGTTTTTTGTTTTAAAAATTAATAGTAAAAAACTTAAAGCAGATATTGATGTATAGATGTTCTTAACAAAAGTAACTGTATTTTTTAAATTAATTCTGGCAGAGTCAATTGAGATGGGAGAGGAAAGAGCCAGCTGGCTGCTCTGGAAAAACCTCATAGACCCTTGGGTGAATTCTCTTTCTCTCTCAATAATAATCAGACAGTTGTTTAGTGAGTACAGAATCAAAGTGAGAGGAGTTAGTCCAATGGTCTCCGTGGCCATCATCACCTAATTCTGAGGTTCCATTGGCCTACAAAAAACTATGCCTATAATAGCAGCCTTCTCTCTTCAAGAGACTTTGAGCATTTTTAATTTCGTGGCAGTCATGTGCTCATCTAAAAACTAAGAATTCTATAGATAAGGAAGGAGAGCAGATATTGAGGGGCAACCAGTAACCTCTGTCCCAGGCCTTAAGTATCCTTTGAAAGAAGGATGAATGAATCAGTACTGCTAGAAATCCAGGCTCACTATCACCTGAGGAAAATGGTTGAATTTTATAACCTTGATTCTGCTACTTACTGAGAATGTAATCTGTAAAATGAGGCATAATCTAAATCTCAGTTGTTCAGGTATAATTAAAATAGTGAAGATAAAAAATACTTAGTGGAGAGAGAAAATGAATGTAAAACTCCTATCTAGCACAGCTTGGGACATGGTAAGAGCTTTAACAAATGTTATTGCTCCCCCTCCCTCTCAGGTTAGGCTCTGACTAACTAGTTCCCCCTGACAGCAGGCTTTAAGAAGGACCGTGCTCGGGAATATTTCAAAATGGTTTCTTTTCTCCTGCCTGTGTCGGAACCCCCAGCACTGGTTTCTGCTCCAGAATCTCTTTTCCAGTGAGCCCTCTCTATGGTCTCTTGTCTTTCCAATCTTGGGAGCTGTGGTTTGCCTGTGTCCTCTATTCTCTTACGAATCCAAGGAGAGTTGTTGGTTTTTCAGTCTGTTCCGTTTTCACTTGTTGTTAGGGTGGAGTGGCAACTTCCAAGCTCCTGTATGTGGAACCAGAAGCCGAAGTACACTCCTCCCATTCTTCACATTACAAGTCCACCGGGAAGAATTTTCTCCCCATCTAGGCTAGAGGGACTTGGTGAGTACTCGGGGACTTCAGAGATACCAGTTCTCCAAGCCATCCTGAAGAAACACTGAAAGCAGAAGTACCACTCCCAGCTCTGTTCCGGGCAGAAGCAGGGAGACAGACATTTGAGTAAGGCCAGTTACAAGAAGAGACACATTTCAAATTTTCTTAAATGACTTTAATTGGAGACTCAAACCCTCTAAACTGTCGTTCAAGCCTGGCTCTGTGGAACAGCATCTGGTACTCAGTGGCGTTAGGGGAGAAATGCATAATTGAGGTTGAAATGCAGGCTCCCTGGTCTTCCCTTCTAGAGTTTGTTGCTGCTTAAGCCTTACAATAATTGTTAATGACACCAAGCTATAGGCTCCTTTCTTCTTCTGATGCAAAATCCTCCGATGGGGGAACTCTTTCACAGGTTATTTGGAATCAAAATACAGCTCTGTAACTGCACTAAATAGCTACCAGCAGGAACATTCTGATGCAGTTACTGAGCTGGCTGCAAAACCCTCCGGGCCTGGAGAAGTCCTCTCCCTGCCGGCCCACTCACTGTGTCAATCCATGATCCTCTCTGTCTAGCATTGGAGTTCTCCCAGACCCTGCTCTGAGAGGGTGCAACCCTAGAAAAGACCAAATACCCATGCTTGATTGCCATGGCCTGATTTCTTGGAGGCCCCAACATAGGGCTGAACTGCTGTTTGCAGAGCTGTGTACAATAACAGCCATTATAGTAATTTTGAATTTCTGTCAGCTGTTCTTCCTAAGAACAATTGATAACACTTTCACAGTAATAATTCATCAGGTTTGCCCTCACCCCAACCCCAAAAAGAGGAGAGGGGGCAAACCCCCTCCCTGACATTAAAAGGAAACCTGAGGCCTGGAGAGGTCAAGGACTTATTCACAGTTCCAACTTCCGTCAGGGCAACGAGCTATGGAGGGCCCCACCTTCTGTGTGGGGGCAAAATGCTGGAGGACAAAGACTTGACTGTTCCCCTGCATTTTTCTAATTTGTATCTTTTCTCTCTTTCCCATATGGACATGTCTGGATTTGGGAATCCCTCCCAGTCTCCTCCATGCCCCCTCCAGCCCAGAGCGGATAGCATCTTCGTCCCGCCAAAGCTCTCGCTGCCCTCATGCCCCTTTCTGGCTCCAAGCTCTATCGGGTTGAAGACACCACGTAGGCTGTGGCGATGTACTTCTTGCCATTTCCGTAGGTGGACTTGTCCCAGGTGTAGGTCTGGATGGCCAAGGGATAGCCACCCAGGCTTAACTGGCACCTGTGGAGAAAGATCATCAAATCCTGGGTTCCTGCTTCACTCCACCCCTGTCCGCAGACAGGAAGGAACAAGCCCAGTTCATGCAGAACTCCAGACTATCTTAGAAGACCTCTAAGAGGCTGCCACCACTTACTTCACCACTGCCTCCAGCTCCCCACGTGCATGGAGCCCTTTCAAAATCTATGCCTATTTCCTATCTTCTTAAAAACACACACACACTGTTTTTCATCTTTCCCAGAGCAGTATTCTAAAATCCTAGATTCTAGAGCTGAACCCCCAGAAATTAAATGTGTGCTTAATGTCTACTTCTTAGGGTTTCAGAAGTAGCAGGACGCAGAGTCCTCAAATGTTAGAGCACATGAGGCCCAGTGGTTTCAACAGTACTCCCTGGGGCTCTAGGGTTCCCCCAAGCAGCCTCAGGGGCAATCAGAGAGGCTTGGAACATCAGGGCAACTCCATTTCTCACTGTTATATACATTAAGGTCCTGCATAAGATTTCACTTAGACTCGCAGTGGCCGGCAAACTCATTAGTCAACAGAGCCAAATACCAATAGTACGATTGAAATTTCTTTTGAAAGCCAAATTTTTTAAACTTAAACTATATAGGTAGGTACATTGTTATTAACTTAATTAGGGTACTCCTAAGGCTTAGGAAGAGCCACACTCAAGGGGCCAAAGAGCCGCCTGTGGCTCGCGAGCCGCAGTTTGCCGACCACGGAGGAAAGAGGGGCGGCAGTTCTTCGGCTAAGACGAAGCTTGGCAGCCACCAAGCTGATACATTCATTTCCCAAGTGAGAACCCTGAGGCCCAGTCCATACCCTCTGAGCCACCGAGTGGCAGAATCCAGGTGCCCAACGGTCCCGGCTGAGGCAGCCTGCCCCCGGGCCTGGCTGGCCTGTACTTACGTTTTGCCTGGCCTGGCGATGAAGCACAGGGAGTAGAGCGCAAACTCAAACTCGGGGCTGCTGCCGATGAAGGCCGAGCCCACTTCCTTATAGTAGCCGTCCCAGTTGAACTGCATGGCCAGCACGTCAGGGTAAGACTCCCACTGCGGACAGAGCGGGTGTGAGTGCCGCAGAGTGGAGGCTGACTGAGTGGTAGCAAACGGCAGCAGCCAGCCAGGATTTGGTGAGGGCCCATGAGGTGTCTGTGTGAACTTTCAGGGGAGGCTGGATTCTTTAAATAAACAGTCCCTCCTACGACAGTGTGTAAGCCCCTCTCAGACCCTGTGTCTGGAGCTTCCTGTGCATATCTCCCAGGGAGGCCAGAGTCAGCATCCATATGACCGATGCCTGCGGAACAGGGACATATCTGTTCCCTACGGCCCTCACCCGGGGAGAAAAGGATCGTTGATCACTCCCAAATTATTTTCTGGCACCAGGCACTAAAGGTTTCATTTTTATAAAAAGTTTAGCTTAGACTAGCCAGATGAAACTTCCAGCTGACACCACATTCTAAGAAAATTCAGGCAGGAAGTAATTGCATGTCATGTCCTCCCCTCTGAGATCCCTCCCCTGCCCCCAGCCCCATCCAGAGATGGTGCCCTCTGCCTTCTGCCCCTGCAGTTGGGGAGCCTTCACGGTTTGGAAAGGAATCCCAGTGTCCTGGCTGGCTAAACCCACTGTCCAGCAGATGGGGAAGTCAAATTCGTAAACCCCATTACCTGCCAATGAAGGTCAGGGTGAGAGACATGTCTGTCTGCTCAGAATGCAGAATGAGGGAAGAAAGTCTGGCTACTAGCGAGGCGTCCCCGCGGTCAGCGCTCAGTACTCACAGGCCCATCATAGATGTGACTGTAATAGTCAACCAGGCCCTCCTTCTCTTGCATGTAGAAGCGGATCCAGTTATGGAAGCCAGTGACCTTGCCTTTTTTTATTTCACCTAAAATAAAGAGTGCAGAGTGGGTGATGGGGCCTCCCCGCTAGCCCCTCTCGCCCTCCCATGCCAAGGCTGTCTCACTTTTCAAGTCTCTGGCTCCCAGACTTCCCACCTGCTCAGCCCCTTGCCCAGGCTGCTCAGAGTCCCTTGCATTCCTAACTTTTCCCTCCAGAAGGCCCCCCTTTCAGCTCAAGCCCTTGGGGAAATTCCTCCTCCTGACTGACTCTGGTAACCAATCTGACATACATTTCTCCAAGAGCAAACCAGACTTGCTGGGAGCTTTGTGGGTCAGTGCAATGGGCAGAGAGACCAAGGCCCTCTTGGGAAGCAGCTGACCAAGACCTAGAAGCGGAGGACCATTCAGAGGTAGACAGCCATGGCCCCCAACATGTCTCCCTTCCTACATGTGCCCCTTGGGAGCCCAGCATCTGGTCCTCTTTCGACCTTTGACTGTTCCTCAACAGTGACTCCTCAGACCCCACCCTCCTGGCCTGGGAGTAGGCGTGCCCCTCCCTGCTAGCTGGTTCAGCTGCGGATTCGTCAATGCCCAATCCTGAGGGAAGCTATCTCTCCATCGCTTTCTTTCCAAGCAGAGTGATCCCACCTGAGAAGACGTGTTCAAAGCCACTTGAGTCCCCCTCTTCATTGCCTCTTGAATAGAGCCCAAACCACATGTTCTTCAAGTCATTGACAAACTCCTGTTCAGAGCTGTAGCGGTCTGGGGAGAGAAACATAGAGGATTTAAGAGAGGGGAAGGCAGGACCAGATCCTGGGAAGGAAGGAAGGGCCACCTGCTCCATCATGTCAAGAGACACATGGGTTCAACCAACAAATGTATTCAATTGTTCATTCAACAGTGACCTATGGGGCAACTGTTTTGTGCGAGGCCCAGATCTAAAGGTGAAGGATTCAGCAGGGAAACACAGGACTAGATCACTGTCTTTACAGTTTGCATTCCAGTAGAGGAGACAAATAATAAACAAATAAACAATAAGTAAAGAGTATGGTTTCAGATAAGTGCTATGAAGGAAATAAAGATTATCCCATGATGACTGAAGGTGGGGATGATGGGGATAGGAGCTCATCTAGAAAAGGAAGATCGGAAAGGCTTCTCTGAGAAGATAGCACTAATCAGAGACAAAGGATAAAAAAAAAAAAATCACTCCTTACTCAGCTGGTGTGGCTCAGTTGGTTGAGCATCATTCCATGCACTAGGGGTTGCCAGTTTGATTTCTGATCAGGGCAGATGCCCAGATTACGAGCTCGAACCCCAGTAGGGGCATGTAGGAAGCAGCCGATCAATGAGATCAATGATTCTCTCTCATTGTTGATGTTTCTCTCTCTCCCTCTCCCTTCCTCTCTCTGAAATCAATAAAAAACATTTTTTAAATCACTCTGGTTGTGTGTGTAAAAGAGTCAGCAGGGCATATGAGCATTGAGAGACCAGTTTTGAGGCTAACGCTTTGTTCAGGTTACAAGTTGTGATGGCTTAGACTGTGGTGGAAGCCATGGAGGAGGGGTGAGAAGTGGGCAGATCAGGGGTAGATTTTTAGAATAAATATGTTTTTACTGATTTTAGAGAAAGAGGAAGGCGGAGAGAGAAAGAGGGAGAAACATCAATGGGAGACAGCCATTGATTGGCTGCCTACTGAGGATTGAGCCCTCAACCTGGACATGTGCCCTGACTGGGAACCAGCGACCTCTCGGTGCATGGGACAATGCCCAACCAACTGAGCGACGCCAGCCAGGGCCAGGGATAGATTTTGAAGATAGACGTAATAGATGTTGCTGGTGTAGGAAGTGGAAATGGGGAACAGTGAGGTAAAAAGAAAAATCAAATATAACTCCCGGGCTTCTGACCTGAGCAACTGGATGAGTGACAGTGTCATTTATGAGATGGGGAAAACTGAGGAAGAGGCAGGAACCTCTTTACACTAAGTTCCGAAGAGATGCCATTAGCTAGGCAGGTAGGGGTGTCGAAAAGGCAGTTGGGAGCCAAGGAAAAGGTCAGAGCTAGGGATCTAAATGAAGGAGCCATCAAATACCAACTGTTTACTGCCCAGAATTGTGTGAGGGGGATGCAAACGTGATACCAGACATAGTCCCTTCTTTCAAGGACGTAAAACACAATTGGAAAACAAGACTAAATATGCACAAAATAACACAATCTGAATGGTGACCACTTTCTTGGTGACAGGCTTTCCACTGGGTGCTTTACAAGCATAAGTCTTCCAAGACCCCATTTCACAGATAAGGCTCAGACAAGTAGGATAACGTGTCTGAGGTCATTCCACTAGTAAGTGGCAGAGCCGAACTCTAATCCAGTCTCTCTGGACCAAGGCTATTTGGGGCCAGACCCCAAGCCCCTGAGCTCTGAAGAGGTGATGAAAGCCAGCTAGCTGGGAGCTGCGGCAAGTACAGCTTCACACATGCAGTGGGATGTGAGCCCGAACTTTAAAGACAAGTGGAATTTGGACAGGGAGAGGGATGAAGGCAGGGTGAATACTGCAACAGCCTGGCCTCGGTACGCGAACCCGGGGTTTCAGCCTGGCTCTGCTCACAGCTTCCTTTGTGGCCTCAGCCACGTCACCTAGCCTGTCTGGGCCTCCATCTCACTTGAAAAGTTGAAGGGCTCAGCCTGGACCTCCAAGATTCTCTCGAGTGTTTACTACAAAGAGAACACCAGGGGGCGTTGAAGGATTGCCTCCCCTTCACCGGGATTACAAGTGTGCCTTGGACTTCACCTAAAAAACAAAGCACGTTACCAAGTCAAGGCAGAAGCCCTTGGACGGAATGGATAGCCCGGATCAGAGGCCATCCCAGGGCCAGGGAGGGAAGACCTGGACAGAGCCGCTCTGAGGCAAAGCCCGACTGCCTGGGTTGCAGGAAAGGAATCTGGAGGACACTAACAAACACAACCCGTGCCAAGAAGTTCCCAGCCCTGACCTTTTTTGGTCTGATTCAAATGTTTCTATCTGGAGTCACTCCAATCAGAACCCTTCCTGGTAGAACCTTCCCTTCTGAACCTTTGTTGATTTTCGGTTGCTGTTTCCCCAACAACAACAAAAGTGGAGTGGGCCCACCTCCTTCCTGGACTTAGCAGGAGCAGGAGTGGAATCAGGGACGCCCTAGGCCTGGAAAGTGGCGCTGAGCTGGGATCAGCTGAGGTGGCTGACCGTGCCCTGGGTGGAGCGGGCTGGCTCACAGCCTTGCAGAGAACCCTGAGACTGGAGCAGTGAGTGGGAGGTAAACAAGGCAGCTGAGAGTAAATCAAAAGATGGGTGACTTCCAGGCCAGACAGAAGATTCTTCAGCTCCTGCTTGGGTCCATGATCTTTTTGGGCTTCTCTCTGACTCTCTCTCCCTTCCCCCTTAAAAAATGGACACCCAGCCCTGGCCAGTTTTCTCAGTGGTTAGAGCATTGGCCCTTGGACCAAAGGGTATCAGGTTTGATTTCCTGTCAAGGGCATGTACCTCAGTTGCAGGCTCAATCTATAGCCCCCGTCAGGGCGAATGTGGGAAGCAATCAGTTGATGTTTCTCTCTCTCTCTCTCTCTCTCTCTCTCTCTCTCTCTCTCTCTCTCCATCCCCTTCCTCCCTCTACTCTCTGTCTAAAAATCAATGGAAATCCTCGGGTGAGGACTAAAACAATAATAATAATAATAAATGGACACCAGCCTCCATGTAGTCCCCACCCATGTTCTTGCCCTCCCCACTGTGGAGGCCCCAGAGGTTCCTGGCTCTCCTGTAGACAGACCCGAGCCCTCAGCACTGCCTCGGGGCCAGGGGCAGGTTCACTCACTCTGATGATGGAGGAAGCTATAGAGTTCCTTCATGACAGCCGTTTTCATGACCTCTCTGAGGAAGGTGTCCTGCTCAGCCAGCTGCTGGGCGCTGAAGTGCTCCCCCTGGCCCGTCGCCCGCTGGTAGTTGTTGAGGAGGTTGATGAAGGCTGCGTAGGTCGGCTTGGAGAACAGTTTTTCGTTGACATATGTGAAGAGCCTAGGGAGGTGGAAGGTGGCCCAGTAAGAGGCCTGAAGGGGGAGCAGAAACCCCTCCAGGACTGCTAGGTGGGCCAGGGCAGGCCTGGGAGGGTTGGGTTCAGGAGCAGAGGGGGGACCTCAGATGCTCTTGAGGGCCTGCATGAGGTCACTCTGTCCTTACACTTCAGCTCCTGGAAGGTTGGGTACGTTCTCAGCCTGGCCAGTCACAGAAACCCTCCCCGCTGGAAGCCCACAGTCCCTCAAGGTAGCTTGGTCTGCCTCTGGAGACCTATTTATTTGCTCTCCCTTTGATCCTCCTGCCTGGAGGATAAAAGAGCTGAGGCATCAAAAGAAGCAAGCTTGGGGGAGAGACTTTGCAGGAGGGGAATGACGGGAACGCACGGCTCCGGGCAGTGGTCCACTTGGTCTCTGGTCTCAGAGGGCGAGATGGCATTTTGGCTGTTGAGGATGATGTCTTCCTTCTGTGCTTTGTTGGTGTCCGCCCTGTAGATCTTCTCAGAGATGGCCTTCAGCTCCTCCGTGGTTATGGCGTCACTGCTGTGGGAGAAGCCCTCTGGGAGGAATTGGGGGAAGGGTGTCTCAGAGCCAGAGGGTGGCCAGAGGGAGGCAACTGTCTGAATGCATCCCTTCAGGCACCTTCCAGAAGCTGGCAGCAAGGGAGAGGGGCTGCAGTCAGGCCCCCCTAGTGGCCAGAAGACAGGAGCCTCGAGCCTTAAGGATCCTTAACATCAGCACCTGGCCTTGCCCACAGAGTGTCCAGAGAATGTCCACACTGGCCCCTTCCTCTAGGAAGGTTCCCAAACGTGGACGTGCATCAGAATCACCCGGAGGGCTTGTTAACACAGGTTCGTGGGCCCCACCACCCCAGAGGCTCTGATTCAGTAGGTCCAGGGTGAAGCGTTTCTAATACATTCCCAGATGATGACCCACTGGGAGGACTATTGCTCCAGGGAGCCCCTCTGTCCCCGGGGCCAGGCTAACGGGAGCAGGAGACTCACCGTGGCCGCACTGGCTCTCAAAATCCTCGCAGCAGTTCCCAAACTCTGGGCAGCGGGCATTGCAGTGGCATGGGTGGTGTCTGTCGAAGGACTCATGGCAGCGGCCCCGGCAGGAATCGGGCGCTGAGTACAGGTCTGAGAGAACAGAGGGAGGTGTGTGCCCGAGGACCTCTAGAGGTCGCTGGGTCACGGCTAGCTCCCCACACTTGGCTTTGTTTGCTCTCCTGACTGTATTATGAAGATCCCGGGGGAAGGGAAACAAACAAGCTTCATTGGTCCACACCCTTCACAGTCAGGAAGTCCTTTCTGATGCCCAACTCTCCTTTCTAGCCTGTGTTTTTATAATCTTCCCACTCTAAAAATAAAATCTCTTCCACTTCCCTCTCCGGCCTCTCCATGGCTTCGGGCCCTCTTTCCTGCCAGGGTCCCCACCCCCCAGGCTGCTGAGGGCTCAGGCTTCTTCCTGCCCAGATCCCGAGTCCAGCGAGCACCTCTTACCACCTCCAGGTGCTGGATTGGGGTCTGTCTGACTTAGGCCTCGGCCTGTTGCCGCTAATATGGCTGCCCCTCCCCTGTCACCCTCTCATGTCCCTTCTTCTTTATCCTGAAGGTCCCCTTGGGGAGGCAGACTCACTGCTAGCCGGGGCCTCCTCCATCTCTTCCTCCATCTCTTCCTCCAGCTCCAGGAACGGCTCTGGCTCTCTGGGGTCTTCTTCAACTGAAACAGAGAAGTAAAGTCACCAGCCATCTCCCCCCCACCCCCTTTATCTCGGGGACAAGCATGGACAGTAGAAGAAAGTATGAAACGGGGCTAGGGAGCAATGAACCATATCAAGTGAAGGAGGAGAAATGGAAGACAGAAGGAGACTGATTGTTGAAAAGGATCTCCCCAGGTGACAGCCCTCCTCACCACTTTACCTTCTGGTACTCAGTGTGCTCATCTATACACAGGGGAGGGGAGGCAGGAGGTGGTCCCTTCTGGATTGAAAACTCTGATTTGGTTATGACTTTGCTTTAATGAAAGTTGATAGGTGGGCAGGCTTGACATTCTCCAAATGACAAGGCCCTTACTTAGGAACATGCCAGACCTATCCTACCTCCCCATCGGAGCCAAGCGTGAGCTCCTCCCAGGGCCTCCAGGAAAAGGACTGCTTCCTGAGAAACCAGCTTCCCTTCTTTCTTTGCAACACTTGACAATGGCCACCAAGGCTGAGTGTGTTCAGAAAAGCCCATTCCTATTGCTGATCCATTCCTTCGGCTTGGAAGTTGCGTGACTGCAGCCTCTGCCCTGGGCTGAGACGGGTGAGCTGGGGTGGGGAGGAAGAGGAGGAATGTTCCCGGGACTCTGAGCTCCTTGCTCATCACACGGCGGAATAATTTCCCCCAAAGAAACAACGCTCTTACAAAGTGACTGGGAATCCATGAGTGAGTTCACTGGACAACACTGTGTGATTACCATCCGAACCACCCGTCAGGTTATCCATCCATTCAGTCACCAGGAACCTTCTGAGCACGTACCCTGAGCCAGGCTGTGTTCTGAGTGCTGATGATTCACAGGGTTCTAAACTCAGTTACGTTTTATGCCAACAGACTTTTGTGAGCTGATCTAGGGTCTCAACCATCACTTGTAATATTTGAGTTGCACATCAGACAGATAGAGATTAAATGGCTCCTGGGCTGAGTGTTGCCTCTATCTAGAAATGCGAGTCTGATGGCCTAGGGCAGTGGTCGGCAAACTGCGGTTCTTTGGCCCCTTGAGTGTGGTTCTTCCACAAAATACCACGTGTGGGCGTGTATGTACAGTGCGATTGAAACTTCGTGGCCCATGCGCAGAAGTCAGTATTTTCTGGAAGAGCCACACTCAAGGGGACAAAGAGCCGCACGTGGCTCGCGAGCCGACCACTGGTCTAGGGTGAACTAGCCTTCCTGGGTCTGCTGAGTGGGGCACAGAAGCAGCAGAAATGGCGGCTCAGATTCTGACAGTGAGCGCTGGGCCTGTCTGTGCCTGATCAGCAGAATTCCTGAGAGTATGTGTGGTGTGTTTGTGTAAATTGAAGAAAGTCCCCTTTGGGCGAAAGCAGCTCTGTGGGCACAGAACTGGGTCAGCAGACACCACCTTTGGGCAAATTAGAAGTCACTGCTTTCTTTCAGCAGGCACAGATCTACTCCAAGGCACATGGCTTGGCAAGAAAGATACAGATTCAATTTTGGTCTGAGTTGCCCTCTCACCAGGTGCCCTCATACAGTGCACAATGCGCACAACCTTATGCAGTGATCTTGCGGGCCATGATCTACCACGGCTCTAGGTACCGTGTTTTCCAAATTGGGAGTCAGGACACGTGGTTTGGCAGTGGACTTAGCAAGGCGTTGTGTCCTAAAGCAGACGATCATTTACCTGAAAGTCTGAAACATCGGCAGCATGCAAACCAGGTGGTTATTCAAAGAGGGTTTTTTAATGACTCACTTAAGACTGTGCCATTGAAGTAACAGAAGAACGACTGGCTCTTGAGGGCAGTGCGTGCCCCATTTAATCGCTGGACTGGGAAGGAGGGTTGGCGATGTTGTGGCCAACCCTCGGCCTACTCACTACAGGAAGAGTGGCGTGAACTATGACAGTCACTGTGTCTCCTGGGGGCATGCACGTTGGAAAAGGATGCTGCCATTTTTTTATACTTTTGCTATTTAAAGTGTTGAGCAACAGTTGGTATTGGAATACATAATAAAATAAAATGTTTATCATGTTGCTTTTGGGGGGATTACTTAAACTTTCAAGATATCATTAATCCTGATAGTTCAGACAGATAGTGCAGGCAAATGACATCTGTTTTGTTCTAAGTTGGGGTTTTACCCTGGGGACATCTTAGAATACCCGGGACAAGTGGCATCTAAATTGCTGATCCCGGCTGCATGCCCAATATCCTCATCCCAGGCCCCCTGAGCGCCGGCGTCGGTCCTGAATCCCGTTCTAGACTGCTGGCCATCTAAGCCAGCAGCCCCTGGGGCAAGCTTGGCATGGACGTGGCTCAGCCCACTGTGCTTTCCAGACCCTTCACCCCAAGGAGCCTCACCAGTACACAGGTGCTGGTAGTCGTCACAGCAGTCCCAGTACCAGGGACACTGGCGGTCACACTGGCAGGCAGCATCGCGGTTAAATTTCTCATTACAGCGCGATGCGCATGACTCCATTTTTCCTATGGGAGGTAAGGGTCACAAACTCAGCCCTGTGAGGACCCTGTTCTCCTCATCAAGGTCCCCCACGCTGGAGGGTTCACAGACAAGGGCTGGGATCCCACCTGGCCAGGAAGGTCATTGCTGTCTGCAAGGAGAAGTACTGCCACAGCCCCAAATGCACAATGCCCAGCACCCACTGCCACTCAGCCACCTCAAAGTATAGACCAGGATCACACACTCAAATGCCTGTGGGGCCAGGCCTGTGACATAAATGAGTGAAGAAGCAGGAAGGCAGCAGGAAGAGGTGGGACTGTGACAAATTTGGGACGAATGCCCAGCCTGAAACCGGCAGCCACCGGCAGCTCTGGCCACATGCTGCCATGTTGGGATACAGGCTCAGTGCTGCCACAGCCTAGTCTAGTTCTTCAAGAGAAGCCTTCATTTTTATGTGAAATTTTACAATTTTTAAAATACTCAGGCAGACCCAGTAGAGAGGACTATGGGCTGGGTGAGGCCCAGAGGCCACTATTCACCTGTCCTGTAGATGAAAGGGATCCCCCCTGCCCCCTCCCCCCTGACTCATCCCCTTCCTCTCATCCTGTCCCTTTTATGTTTTCTGCTTCTTTGTTCTTTCCTCCCCTTCATCTGGTCTTTTCTGCATCCTATTCGCCCCACAGTCATGTCTTTCTGTTTCTTGAATCTTTGGAATGCACTCAGATTCGTTTATCTCAGGGTGGGGAATGAGGCGGGTGTGGGTGAGAATTGGCCTTTGGAATACGCTGTTATGTAACCACAGACCACATCCCTTACTCCAGCCAAAGGGCTTGCAGAAACAAGCTTTTGGTCACAGGGGCATACGGACAAGAAATTTTAAAAGAAACGGTACAAACCCACCACCACTCCTAAGAAAACAAGCCCCACCACGCCCGCCACAGCAAAGACAGTGGAGGGTGCAAGCCGGGGTGAAGCTGGTTGTGGGGCCCTTCCCTCCACTCTGGGCTTTGAGGGTGATAACAGAGCCTTTCTTTCCACTTGAGGTTCCTGGGGTTTGGATTCAGCGAGTGCTGGGGTTAGGGTCAGGCTGTGGGTTGGAGAATGTCAAGATCAGAGTCAGAGTTACTGGCGGTGCCGGAATTTGTGTGAATGAGGAAACTGAAACCTAATTTGGGCCGGGGTGGGGGTTAGTTAGGTTTAGATTAAGTGCTGCAGTTAGGATTTGGGCTTGAGTTAAACTTATTGATAAAAAAACAATTTTGTATTCATGTTTGGGTAAAGCATTGGGGATAGCTTTAAGACCACATTCAGGGTTGTGGAATGTGTCAGGACTGGGAGAGAAGAAATTAGCCCAGTTTTGCCTTAGACTAGATTTGGGATTTTGGTTTTAATTATGATTCCATGCAGATAGAGCACCTCAATTTAGCCTGGGTTTAGGGCAGAGATGAATATTAGGATATGGGCTAAGTTACTGCTTTGGATTCTGGGATGAGGGGTTATGCTGTGCTAATGATGGTGACACAGCAGGGAGGTGAAGAACCTGGAGTCTGGCACCAAACTGCTTGGGGCTGGAATTCTGGTTCTGCTGCTTTCTGGCTATGCAATCGTGGGCAGGTTATTTGACCTTCTGTGCCTCGGTTTCCTTATCTGTAGAAGTGTGATAATGAGCCCATCTCATAGAATATTTATAAGAATTAAATGGGCTAGTATTTGTAAAGCACTTAGGATAGTGCATGACAGATTAGCACTATGCAAGTGTTTGTGAGATAAACAGTGGCAAAATTTTATGCTCGGTCTTCAAGGCGACAGGAATTCAGGCTGGCTGGAGCAGTCTCCCCCCCCACCCCCACCCCCCGCCGACATGCCTGTCCGGCTAATCCCTCCTTGGGTTTCAGCGAGGCCTTCCCTTGGGCTGGGGTGTCCATGACGAATGTTGCTGACAGGCTCCTAGCTGACATCCCCACTATAAGCCTGTTTTCCTTACATCAAAGAAGTGTCAGGTCAAGGTTACCCAGGGTCTGAGGCAACGTCACCTTATGTGCAAGGCCTCCAGGGTGGCAGGAAGGTAGGCCTCTGATCCAGGGAATTGTCCCTAAGAAAGAGCAGGCCCAAGGCCCCTGTCTCTTCAGGCCCAAGGGGACTCCTCTTGAATCTTAAATGATGCTCCCTTAGAGCCTGAATGGGAAGACCTTCAGGAGAAGTGTTCAGCCCAGGAGGAAGGCTCGGTCAGCTGCCTGCCCGGTCGGTGCCCGGTCGGCCTGGCAGTACACCCAGAATCCGAAGGAGAGAATTCAGACAAAACAGGGCAGCGTCTCTAATGGGCCAGGTCAGCAGAGTCCGAGGAAAGAATTCGCTTCATTCCAGCAGCTGGCACCCGTTGAGACGGGTTGCGAGTGAATAGGCAGCTCTGTGGTGTCAGGAGAACACCCCCACCTCCGGCCCCAGCTGAGTGGACTTCTTCATCTCCGTTCAAGAACTATGTCCCCAGCAAGAAGCCTGGCCCAGGATCCTCCGCGCTTCCCTGTAAACTTAGGCTTTAAAACAGCGGTTCTCAACCTGTGGGTCGCGACCCCTTTGGGGGTCGAACGACCCTTTCACAGGGGTCGCCTAAGACCATCGGAAAACACATATATAATAACATATTGTTTTTGTGATTAATCACTATGCTTTAATTATGTTCAATTTGTAACAATGAAATTGGGGGTCACCACAACATGAGGAACTGTATTAAAGGGTTGCGGCATTAGGAAGGTTGAGAACCACTGCTTTAAAATAACCTTGGGATTTGAGGGTGGAGGGGAGGGGTGGGAGGAGCTGTTCCTCAAAGGGACTTTTCCTGCTGTGCTGCTCTGAGGACACTCACCCTGACTCCTCACACCAGTGCCCCCCCCCCCACCACGCCTACTGTTTACACCAGTGCTGTGTGTGCCTTGCTCACCAGCCAGGCACCCGAATCCCTGCTCCAGCCACCAGCTGCCCTCATCCCTCTGCCCCTTCTCTGACTCTGCCTTTCTTCATTTTGGCTTTTCTTCTCAGACTCAGATTCTTCCTCCATTCCCCATGAAGAGCTTAGCCATGACCACCCCCCCACTCCCAATGAAATACTAAATTTCTCTGCACCCTCCAAGATGTCAATATGCTAGAATGGATCCTCACTCCCGATCCATTCTGCCCAAGAGAGCCTGGGCATCCCCATATGCCAGTGCTGAGCCCCTCTGATGGTTGGGGCAACCTACATCTCTACCTCTACAGGGGCTCAGATGCTGTTTCCATGGAGACCTAGTCAACTAAGAAAATTCATTTCCAGGACCAGCTTCCTATTTCAGCCAAAGGCTCCCCAATATGATTCATATTCATGCATCAAAGTTGTGAGATGTTGAAATAGGATAGACAAGAGCAGAGCCTCTTCCCTCCCACCTTAGGAAAGAAGGCGGCATCAGCCACTCAACCCTCACTTTCCCAGTAATCCCACAGCCGGTTAGATCACCACCCTCAGAGGCCAGGGCTCCACCTGCATGTCCGAAACCACTGTTGCCTCTACCCTCAAGGATGTGCCCCCACCCTCACCAGAGACCAAAAGTCTTTTTTTATTAGATTTTTATTGATTTCAGAGAGGAAGAGAGAGGGATAGAAACATCAATGAGAGAGAATCATTGATTGGCTGCCTCCTGCATGCCCCCTACTGAGGGTGAGGGGATGGAGCCACAACCCGGGCACGTGCCCTTGGCCGGAATCGAACCTGGGACTCTTCAGTACATAGGCCGACACTCTATCTGCTGAGCCAAACCAGCTAGGGCAGAGACCAAAAGTCTTGAGTTGCTGTCCCCTCCTGAGATGTACCAAGCCTGCGGTCACTCCTTCACACTAAGCTAGAGGTTTTCCTGTCCTCCCTCACTCTCTACCACTGGCTCTCTGCCATGCAGGGCCCAGTCAGAGCTGATTCCCGGCTGCTCTGCAATGAGCGCCGGGTGGAGGTACATGATCCCATCCAGGGTTGGATGCCTGGGAACAGTTTCCTTAGGAATCCTGCCAGGGGCCCCCTTATCCACAACCTACTTGGAAAGGACTCCAAGAGTAAGCTTCTCACAGGAATATTATAGTGATAGTCAAAGCCCCAATTCATTAAGATCTCACCCCATATAGAGTGCTTTTTTTTTTTTTAATATATTTTATTGATTTTTTACAGAGAGGAAGGGAGAGAGATAGAGAGTTAGAAACATCGATGAGAGAGAAACATCGATCAGCTGCCTCCTGCACACCCCCTACTGGGGATATGCCGGCAACCCAGGTACATGCCCCCGACCGGAATCGAACCTGGGACCTTTCAGTCCGCAGGCCGACGCTCTATCCACTGAGCCAAACCGGTTTCGGCTAGAGTGCTTTTAATACATTATCTTACTTAGTCCTTACAACCGTCCTATACAGGAACCACCTGGGTTGGGTGGGATGGGTATCAAGCGCTGATTCTGTCTCCTCTAGGCAGACGAGGATTCTCCCCACACACCTCCGCTCAGCTCCCTCCCTTGGCACGGGTTTCACTCACTCATTAGCCACAATTAACACAGGGCCCCAGCATTTTGCATAGCTACTAAACAGGAAAGGGCTCCTGTTCCTCTGCTGGTCCCATCCCATCCCCGGCACCGCTAGTAGCTGTGGGCCAGGACCCTTCTCTCTGTGTTAATTCCTCTAAAACTGGGGCAAGGCCGATTCCCCTGACCAGTTGCATAGCCCCAGGTAGCACGTGGCCCACCTCCGGGTCAGGGGCTCTTCCTTCCAGTTTCCCCCTGAGCCTGCCCATCTCAGAGAAAGGTCCCACCCCAGACAACCTCATTTGTTCCCAGGCAGCGGAGGGAGTAACCAAGGGCAGCAGGCCACTACAACCCAGCAGCCCCCAGCCCCAGCTTTATACCATACAATGACCACGAAAAACAAAACTTTGATGAGCTCAAAAGTCAGGTTGGACTAAGGGATATTTGGGGCTGGTCTTCCAAGCTGTCAAGAAATGTCTCCCAGGACATTAAGTCCATCAGCCCTGAAACTCCCTTCACACAGTCCACTCCACTCCAGAGGCAACTCCTGCACCTCAGACCAGGACCGGTCTAAGGTGCTCTGTGAATTTAGGACAGAGCTGATCCTCCCTTGTCCCACTACTCTCACCCTCTACCAAGTTCCCCAAATCTCTGCTTCTTTCTGCAGGACTTCTTCTGCCTTCACCAGATAATGACTTACCTGCCCAGGCCAGGCCGCACAGCATGGCCAATATCAGGGGGACACAGGCCTTCATGGTGCCCAGTTGGAGGCCAAAATGGGATTGGCTGTCGGACTTCCACGAGAGTCAAGATGAACGTCACAGCTCTCAAGTGCGCCTTATTTCCCAAGCTTGTCCTTTTAAAGACGTCAGAACTTGTAGATCTGGTACCTCCGGATCCTTCCCCAAAAGGGGGGAGGGATCCCAGATGGATCGGAGGTGGATGGGGGTGGAGTTCTCCAGCTGTTTGAAGCCAGAGGGAAGGTGACTAAGCAGGCAGGTAATGCCAGATGTTTAGAACAGGTAATGCTAGCCATCTGTAGTTAGGAAATAGGTCGTACAAGCAGGCACAGCAGATGGGCCTATGTTAGAGGATGTTCTGTCCAAATTGGGTGCAGCCATGGACTCATCTTTGGGTAATGTCTTCCAAACACCCACCTACCTGCAAGCCACAGGCTTGACTTTTCTACGGGGAAGGGGTTACAGACTGGCTTCATCTTTGAGTTACTGGTACACAGCGTAAGGAACACAGTAAGATGATCATTACAAGTTTGACTAACAAGTGCTCAGGCAAGCATTGGGGTGAGTGGAAGGAGAGGTAAAAGAGGCATGGGTTGGAAACAAAGGGTGTTCTTACCACCATCAATGTAGCTAAATCACCTTATAAATATCATGCAAATTGGCCTCTAACTCTTACTGAGTCAACATCTCAGCTCTTACAGGTTTCAGGTCCTCGTGGATTTCAGGTTTATGAGGCCAGGGAAGGGTGAGAGGCCTCTTAAAGGACACACCCTTCCTCTTCTGGGAGCCCAGGGCCTCACTCCCTTTATCTTCTACTCAGTCTCCTCTCCCCCAAAGACCATCCCCAGAGAGATGAGGCCTCTCAGGGCCCCTTTCCTCCCGAGCCTGAGAACAGGAGTAGCCCCTTGGGCTGCCAAGCTTCCTCCTCCTACTGAAGGTTAGATCTGCTAAGGGAAATGCCCTTCCCAGAAAGAGCACTGCATGGGGTCCTCAGCTCCCTCAAAAAAGAAAGCTCTCATATCAAAAGGCAAAGCTGCCCTGGCTGATTTGTCTCAGTGGATAGAGCGTCAGCCTGTGAACTGAAGGGTCCCAGGTTCAATTCTGGTCAAGGGCACATGCCCGGGTTCCAGGCGTGATCCCCTTGTGGTGCATGCAGGAGGCAGCCGATCAATGATTCTCTCTCATCATTGATGTTTCTATCTCTCTGTCTCCCTTCCTCTCTGAAATCAATAAAAACACATTTTTTTTAAAAAAAAGGCAAAGCTTATGAACAATTGAGACTACTCCACAGTTTTCAGTTTTGGGGTGTGTTTTCTTTGGGGGGGGTGGCATATCCTTCTTAGCCAGTGTAGTTTAACAGTGAAACTTTCCCCCTCTTGTCCTCAGTTTTCTCCTCTTTGAAAGAATAGGGTTGAATCAGACAATTCTGTTCCAAGTTCTCAGACTTTATTTTGAAGCTTCCTGCCCATCTCCCAGGCCAAGCAGTTGTCGGTGGGTTAAGGAGAGCCTCCCATGCCCTTGCTGTGTGGAGATGAGATCGAATACGTCACGGTCAGGAGTGAGAGGCCAGCCACCTTAAAGAGTAAGCCTGGCCCTGTTAGGAAGGAAGCCAGTTACAGGGAGTAGGAGCAGAAATGGCTGCTTGTTTGTAAGTTTCATTTGCACAACCCGAAAGCCGACTGAGTGGCTGCCAGCCAGACTTCTCATTCTCAGATGCCAGTTAGTTTAGGGAATAAAGGAGAGCGTCACTGCTGGGCCAGAAAGCAATGACACCTCGGGATCTGGGATGGGATGGTCTGTCCCTCTCAAGGGCCCAGCTGGCTGAATGGACCCTGGATGAGGCCAAAGCTATCAGAAGGGGTGTGGGTTCTGGCCAGCATTGCCCTGCTGTCCAACTGAACTAACTGTAGGATGGAGTTTTTGGGGTGGGTGCGTTGACCTCCATTAGGTGAATTTTAGGTCAAGAGCAAGGCTGAAAGATGGGCAGACAGACTGAACCCATAGATCCCCTGAGGACCCGTGCGTTTCAGACTGGGTCCTCCAACAAGAACCACAATGTCAACTTAACCACCAACACCAGCACTGATGGAGCCCTTTCCAGGTGTCACACACAAAGAATGTCCAGTGTGCTCTCGCCTTCATTCTCACTACAGCCCTTACCAGGGACTCTCGTGATCTCTTTTACAGATGAGGAAACTGAGGCACAAAAAGGTAAGGAGATGTGCCTAGAGGCACACAATTTTTAAGTTATGCAGTCAAGTTTCTGACCAGAGTCCACCCTAGCAAGCACCGAGGGCACATAGCTCCAGACCACACCTTCAAGTGCAGCAGCCGCCACTGCATTATGCCTGCATCACTGTGCAAAGTGGCCTGAAGTCAGATTCACTGGAACTGGGGACCTCAGTGGTCACCTAGTTTCACTTCTCATGGGATGGTGCAGCGCCCTAACCAGCGGTTCTCAACCTGTGGGTTGCGAACAATGAAAATACATCCTGCATATCAGATATTTACATTATGATTCATAACAGTAGTAAAATTATAGTTATGAAGTAGCAACGAAAATAATTTTATGGTTGGCGGTCACCACAACGTGAGGAACTGTATTAAAGGATCGCGGCATTAGGAAGGTTGAGAACCACTGCATGGTGGTTCTGCTGCCACTTGAATACTTGTGGTGCTAAGGCAGTGGTTCTCAACCTTCTGGCCCTTTAAATACAGTTCCTCATGTTGTGACCCAACCATAAAATTATTTTCGTTGCTACTTCATAACTATAATTTTACTACTGTTATGAATCATAATGTAAATATCTGATATGCAGGATGGTCTTAGGCGACCCCTGTGAAAGGGTCTTTCGACCGCCAAAGGGGTCGCGACCCACAGGTTGAGAACCGCTGTGCTAAGGGATCCCACCTTCAGGGCTGCTCATACCCGCTTCCCAGACCTTATTTGAAATCCCCAGGACTTTGCAACCCAAGACATACTGACCTGGATGAAAATAGATAGCATAACAGAAAAAAATCCACTCAGCCGATTTATGAGCATATATCCATACATTCATGCAAAGATGCCTCACAGATATCTTAGAGGCACATATACAGGGTGTCCCCCAAAAATGATACACACTTTGAATGATTATAAAGTCAATGTTTATTAACATACTGTTCACTTTCAAAATTTAAAAGAATTTACAGAAATTAATAATTTCTTTTTTTGTCAAACCTGTTTTCAAATTGATATAATTCTGGTCCAGGCACTGCTGATAACACAAAGCAATGGAATAGCAAACATCAAGAATCATTTTGTTCAGGATTTGTGCGCCTCAATTCAGTGACTGTTGCGGTTTTGTACCGTAAACTTTATCTTTTATGTATTGCCCTCCCCCCACCCCCCCAAAAAAAAAGTCTAGTGGCACTTTAGGATACATTTTCTTTGTTTAAAGCTTAGTCTGCCTTCACCCATGATTTCAAATCAGTTAAACCTGAAAAGGAGTGAAAATTAAATGACTTATCAGATGTTAAAGTGTATATACTTTTTTTGGGGGGGTACCCAATATATGTATATACTGGAGTGGACCAAATAAGTAGGTTTACAGTTGTGAGCACACGAAACACAGACTTTATTCTTGTGTTATTATTTATTAACCTGCAGGTCTCTTCCCATACAAACAACTGTATACCTACCTTTGCTCACCCCTGTATGTACAGAGAGGCGGACACATTAATTGTATTGCGGACAGGTTCTCTTCTCAGCCAGCTTGGTTTGGACAGAAAACTGTGCAGCTCGTCCTTCTAAGTTCTCCCCCAGGTAGTTAGGTCCTCACATCCACTTTCCACCTTCATTGTAAGCTCTTCCCCGGGAGCCACCATGGGAGGCAGCCAGCAAGGTGAGAGCCTCAGGAGGCGGGGTCCCGGACACCTGGGGTGGGAGGAGGGTGCAGCTGCTGCCTCGGTGGAGGGTTGGAGGGTGGGGAAGAGGGTGAAGCTACGTAGGCCAGGATCTAGGAGGCAGTCAGCTGTGAGTGATGTGGGGAGTGGGGATTCCGCAGTAAATGTTTCCTGGGTGCTCACGATGTGCCTGGTCCATGCTGTTACTGGACTGGCAGGGTTCAGGCTGGGCTGGAACACTATTCTTGGAACTGGTTGGTTTCTGGTGGGGTGGAGGGCAGGGAAATCGAGGCATTTGGTCACTGTTTGAAGTAGACCCCCCTCATCTCTGGGCGACCAAAGTAGTCAGGGGTCTGTCAGGACCCATGGGCTGTGAGAGAGACTGGCCAGGGGACACATGCCCAGGCCAGCCTATTTCACCACTTTGCCCTCTGTAAAACCAGGACCGAGTCACTCCAGCTAGGACCAGAGACTTGAGGGACCCTGCAGCCGGTGCAGCTCAGGTGAGGCCTGGAGTCCCTTCCACAGGGATCCTTCCTCTGAAGATCCTGTGTCTCCAGCCTCCATCTCACTGTGGCATGTAAGTGCCTGGATAGAGGCCCAGGACAGTCACCCACACCTGCTCACTGGTGAACCACATCAGTCTGTCGTGAGTGTTAGACAGGTTCCTTGTGTGATTTTCTCTCACACGAGCTTGTACACTGTGCACCACATGTGGGTTTCCAGGCATTTATTTTTAAGTTTGTGGGCAGCCCTGACATTCAGCATCACACTCATGGCCAGCCCTGGGCACATTAGTCAGACAGGCATCTGAGCCACTCATCACAGAGTGCCAGGCTGTGCTTCTGGTTCTGCGGGCCAAGCCCCATGCCAGTCCTCTGCCTGGAATGCCCACCCCCACTAGCCAGCTGTCTATCTGCTGCTCATCCCTCAGCCCCAGGGCCAATCCACCTTCCACAAAGCCGGACTTCCTCCCACCAGCCCACAGGATCCCTTCCGCCTATGGACTCAGTTCTTGATATTTGTTTGTCCTGTGTTTGCCTTTGACACATCACAGCTGCCTCTGATAGATGCTGCCAACGTGCTGGCAGTTAACCCACGCATTACCATCTAACTTTTCATCCATACAGATGTTTGTTCAGCTCGCCTCTGAAATTCCTTGAAACTGATACCCTGCTTCACGGGTCCCTTCTACTACTTTGAATCTTTGTTTAAAAATATTTTTT